GTGCTGCCCTCCCGAGCCCGCCGAGCCGCGCCGCCCGAGCCCCTCCGATGCCTCCGACACCGCCGCTCCCGGGCTCCGCCGCGTCTCCGAGCAGCATGGCACGGATTAGGTACCTCCGCGCCGCTGTCTCGGGGTTTTATCTGTGGGAAGCTGCGGTACTGCTCAGGTGAGTTGCTTTCTTTGGGGAACCAGAGGTGGGGAACATTTCGGGCAGCTGAAATGTCCCGGACGGGGGCGGACAGCCGCCTCGGTCACCGGCTTTCCTCACCACGAACGCCCGGCTACCTTCGGCAGCCAGGCTGTGGGCACAGAAACTGAGCTCCACGCTTCCTGAACGGCTTCATAACATTGCGCTGTCCCGAACCTCATTTTGCATTTTACAAGCAGGAGGTTGTGTACTTCCTTCACTTGCTCGCAGAAGGAGTTTCCCTACAAGATCTGTGAATTTTATCACTGTTTTCAGCAGGAATTGTAACATCCATGGTACTGAAAATTCTCAAGGTGCAAAGTGTCTATACGTAAAAGTTACAGAAAATTATCTGAGTTGGGAATAGACAGACTTCTTTATTACTGTCAGTTCTTTTCGGCAAAAGGAAAATCACGGATTGCATTAGGTCAGAAGTCTTGTGCAGAAACAGAAACACTAGCTGAGTGAAGAGAGAATTTACTCTGCAGAAGTTCTTTTAAGAGGGAATTCATTTGTTTTACTACCGACAGTCTAGCATTTGTGTTATGAAAGATGGCAACATATCCATAAATTATGACCTGAGTATGAATACTGAGGTTCATACGGCTTTCTCTGCCCAGCAGAGAAACTCTTTCTAGGTAAAGTGATGTAAAGCGATGTTATTATATCAATGTAAGCATTCTTTTAACACATAGCTCTGGAAGTGTGGTGATACCAGGCTAAAATGAACTTGAGTCCTCCATGAGAGAAAACTTTAAAAGAAAAATCACACATGTAAAGAAAGATGCTTCAGTGTCATCATATAGTCACTGCTAATGCAGTTAGCCATGCTTGTTATCGACAAACATTCTAGCTCTGTATCGCAATAACAAACTACAGCGTATAACATGGCAGTGCCAGACTATTTTAAGACTCACAGTGTTATTTAACAAAGACAAAAAAAGGGAAACTTAAATTTGAAAAGAGGGTTTGGGATTTATACATGTAAGGGATTTATAACCACGAAGTTAAGTCAGCAGCATGTATTGCCCCACAGTGATGGCACACTTCACAAGTGCTCACAGGTTTATACCAACTCTTTCCTTTTTAAAGTTAATTTAATGACATGCTTTGTATCAAGATAAATAGTTTATAACGTGATTTTATTGTAATTGAGCCAAAAGAAAGAGATTTTAAGAAACTTGGTCACATGGTATGAGAGTGACACTGCAAGGAAAGAGTCAATGCTTGTATACAATTTAAATTTTTCAGTGAGTATTTAATGCTCAGGGTAGGTGACCAAACACTTGTGTAGGTAGGCAATAAAAGCAGTACTACGCTATTATTATTCTATTTCAAGAGCTTATTTTTCCTCTGAATATTATTTCATGCCATCCTACTGTTGAATTGTTCATCCTTTATTTTAACAATATAAAAAACATTTATTCCAAGAGGGGGAGAAAACTATAAAGTCACTTATGAAAAGCACATTTTGCATCACATAAATCTGGACTAATACTGAGTTTCCAAACACATTCAGATATCTTATTTAGCATAAATTCCAACTATTCAGCATCCAGATTACTGTGGTATTTTAATAGCCTTTTGCTCATAAATAGTCACTTTATGATAATGAACATGGTTAATAGGAGTCTTCTCCATGCTTTCAAAATGGAAATAAAAGGTGAAAAAATTTTAAAATATTAAAACCTGTAAAATTCTCAACTCTTCTGGAGCCATTAATTCTATTTCTTTTCCAACTTAAGCCTTGTGAAATTATTTCCATTGGAGCAAAGGGAACAGGGAATAGTAGAATGCTGCTTCCATTCTCTGTTAGACACAGACTCCACCCTTAGCACCTATATAACACTTGATGAGAAGATGGATGTGCTTTGGATTTCTAGGAACAGTCAAACCTTAAGTGGCTTATTTGTTCACACATTTTGGAAGAAATGATGTTATCTTGTCTTACATAAGGCAACTTTGAAACTTTTCTACTCTTCATTAAGGAACTGAAGGCTGGGTGAGAAAACAGAATGAAACTAACAATAGAAGTCCTCATTACTTGTCCAATAGCCCTGAGGCTATTTAAAATTAATGTTTAAATCATATGCTCATGAAGATAAAAAAAATATATTTTTTAGTGTAAATTTAGACTTGCTGCTTTAATGAGCAAAATCTCGAGATGCATGCTTCACAAGAAGAAACTTCACCTGATTATTTTTTTTGCTAATTCATTTTTCATTCCACATCAAATGATCCTTCAAATTGCAATGACTGAAACAAGATGCACATTGTTCATTATAGGATCTAGTTATTAATTTGATCTCTGGAACATGCTGTAGAAAAAAAATTAGAAGAGCAATGAAGCTGGGAAAGGGTCTAGGGAGCAAGTCTTGTGAGGAGAGGCTGAGGGAGTGGGGTTGTTTACTCTGGAGAAAAGGAGGCTCAGGAGAGACCTTACTGCTCTCCACAACTCCCTGAGAGGAGGGTGCAGCCAGGTGGGGATCAGCCTGTTCTCCCAGGCAACAAGTAACAGGACAAGGGGAAATGGCCTCAAGCTGTGCCAGGGAAGATTCACATTGGATATCAAGAAGAAATTCTTCATGGAAAGGGTGGTCAAGCATTGGGATGGGCTGCCCAGGGGGGTGGTGGAGTCACCATCCCTGCAGGTGTTCAACAAATGACTGGACATGGCACTTGGATCTGTAGTCAAGTTGAGAAAGTGGTGTTCAGTCAAAGGTTGTACTTCATGATCTTGAGGTCTTTTCCAGTCTTAATGATTCTGTGGTTATCTGCAGTATTTCATAATATTGTGCTTGTTTGTACTTGCTATGTCACAGATTTATGCACATATTGATAAAGTGTTAATAGATTTTAAACATCAAAAACCATAGTTAAAGCACATAACACTCTGGTTTATGCAATATATTTGAGGATAGGGAGAAAATCTATTCTCAGACCCAAAATAAAAATAATATTTCTTATTAGTATTACTGCCAGTCCAAGCCTGAGTGTGATTCTAAGATGGTCCAAGTACAAAAAACAGGCAAAATCTAAGGAAAATAATGTAATGTAGCTTTAAAATAACTGTCATTTACTACCAAAGAAAGAAAAAAAAATCTGATACATTGTTTGAAGATATAATAATGTCTGAGTATTCTTCTGAGTTTTCAATATAGTAATAGCGTTAACAAAAAATTGTCTGGATTTTTCTGAATTCCAAGAGGTCATGATGAAAGCAAGATCATGTTTGTAAAATAAACGTGAAGATCAGCTTTGTGAGTCAAAAACAGTTGCATAACAGCTCAGGAACTTTCACGGACACCAGCACTGATTTGTTAGAACTATGATGTCAGGGGCTCGACAGGAATTTGCTTTTTCCTTGAAGGGTGTAGTGTATCTATTTTATATGTAGACCTGTGTATGGGGAAAGAACAAGTTGAAAAGGTAAGTTGCACTGGGGAAGTGAAAAATAGGTTCTCCCTCTGTGGTATTTCTTTATTTATCCATATTAGCAAAGACCAAGAATCATGCTACAATTAGATTATTGACTCTTTCCTCATTCTTTTCACTACTCCATTGGACTTGCATTAAAGGAAACAGTATCACAAACACAGATAATTGCTCTTAAAAACCAGATTTTTGTGGGAAAAAGCTCCATGCAACCTAACTATGTGGTATATCTGAGTTTAGTGTTAACTGATTTTGAAATTGTTCCTGCATTTCATTGCAAATTGATTTCGGGTGAATAGCTATGAGTAGCAGAAGTCATTATCTATTAAGCCAGTATTAGCTACTTCAAATAATGAAAGAGAAAAAAACACAACACCAAAGAACTATTAAATCTTTCATAGCATCACAAACATCTTTGAAAATAAAGATTTTCAGGTGTTCTAATGAAGCTTCAGTAGGTTATTAATATGTTAATAATTAGACCTACAATGCTACTCAAGAAATAAAAGTGTCCAAATCAAGATGTGAACAGAAGTGTGTAAAAGAAAATCCACTAATGCAAGATGACAGCAATTCCTTTCCTCAGCAGCTCAGACTTAATTTGAAGGATAGTTTCTGTGTAATAAATCAGTTGACAGACTCCAGGTCCAATGAAAAGCACGTAGCACATCTCTGGGAGTAGCAAAGGAAGGGTAGGTGAGGTGGGAGTTGAGACTCACGGCAGGGCAGGAAGGAACAGGATTCTGCCATAAAAGTTTGCAGTCCCACAGCACTTGTACAGCAGAAGAACAGAGTTCAAAAGTCCAAACTGATGGACAAAGGTGTCATGAAGAGAAATGTTCAAGGTCAAGGCCAAAGGGTCAGGTCAGCAGATCAGGCTCACGAGCAAAATGACAAAGGTACAAGATTGGGTGAATGCTTGCACACTAGCTCATGCAGAGACCACAAGAACCTCCTCAGAACTTCTGAGGGTGGGGAAATAAAGGAAAAACACCCACGGTTAAAAGAAACAAAAGCAAGTCATCAGAGAAGAGAGATGAACCCCCACTGGGGGTTCTACAAAACAAATACAAACAGCGCTGTTTCAAAGCTGAGTTACCAGAGCTCACACCAAGCCCAGTCAGTCAAACTCCTGTGATGAAGGGTCCTTCTAAAAGTCTAGGAAGAGAGCATCAGTACCTTTAGTCACTACCATTGTACTTTCCAAAACTCAGACAAATGTGACAAAAGAGGGTTTTGTGACCAAGAATATGTAATTCAAATTCTCTTGTATTTCAGCTTTACCAATTTCTCCTGTATTAAAGCTATACCACTGAAGATACTGAAATCCCTTTGTACCAAATAGGAGTTTCTTCATGAGCACAAATTTGATTAGGGCTTTAGCTATTCATTCTTTATTTCTATAAAATTTTGGTTATTTTTCTAGGTGACTACCATCTTTATAATTTCAGGAAAGGCTTGTATATTTATATATTATCCATATATTTTTGTGTTTATGGTACTATAACCTTTAAGAGAATTAATTAACGGAGAAATTTCAATTA